TTTGTCTAGCTTCTTCCACTCAGCATAAATCATACTTGTTTATCCATTCACCTGTTGATGGACCTTTAGATTGTTTCCAGTTTTTGGCAAGCACAAATAAAGCTGTCACGAACATTCATGTTCAAGTCTTTTTGTTGTTGTTGTTGTTTTTCATGTTCAAGTCTTTTGCATTGGTGTGAGCGTGTGGGGATGGGGTGGGTTCTTATAAAAAAAAACACAATGGAAAATAAGAAACATTAACTGAAATGTCTTAGTTCAAAATTAATCTAAACTGTAGGAAACAAAATATCTTGGCCAATTTGGGCAAGTCAATTAGCTTCTCTGTCAACATCCATATGTGCAAGGCCTGTCCCCGCTAGAGTTTGTAAAAAAAAATGAGATAGGAAGCAGAAACCTTTTAGAACTTCCACAAATAAGCTATTTTTTCTTGTAAATTCCCTTAAAAAAAAAAAGACTAATGTTCTATGAAATGTAATGTAAAATGCAATATTTGAGTTGTCATTTTTAAGTTTTTTTTAAATTTCTCTTAAATTTATATTTATTTCACACTTAAAAAATAATTTCCTACATACTTTCACTTTCTGCCAACAACATGAAATTAAAATAAATACAGGTAGCTATTTTAAACACCAAGAAAAAACCTCATTCTGCATTTCTAATGCATTCAAAGTCCTTATCTACCAGCTTTACTTGATGGACATCCCCTACGCCCCATCGTCTATCACCGTCCTCTTCCTCTTGGCTTACTGGGCTCAGAGCTCCAAACTAAGGATGCTAAGGATGCTTCCCTCTGAGGGACTTGGCTCTTGCTGTCCTCTGTCTAGGATGTACTTTCCCCAGCAGCCATATGGTACCCTCTCACCTCCTTCAGGCTCTGCTCAAGTGCCATTCTGTGCTCTCCTTTCCTGCCCATCCTACATAAAAGGGAACTCTTCCCCACCATCACACCCCATTCCTCCTACCCAGCTATACTTGCCTCCCCAGCATTTATCATTTGAGGTATTACATATACATATATACATAATACGTATTTGATTATTTGTTATTGTCTATATCCTTCCACTAAAATAAATTTTTTTTTTTAAGACAAAGATTTTATTGTATCCTCTGCTGCGTCCTCAATGCCCAGGACAGTGGGGCCTGCCCGCTTCTGAATTCCACAAATACTTGTTGAAGAAATTTGATTGCACACTATTTATTGATTTAAAAAATAAATAAATTCTTGGGGCGCCTGGGTGGCTCAGTTGGTAAGCGTCTGCCTTCGGCTCAGGTCATGATCCCAGAGTCCTGGGATCGAGCCCCGCATCAGGCTCCCTGCTCTGCTGGAAGCCTGCTTCTCCCCTGCTCTGCTGGAAGCC